AGGAAACCTCCGCACCACATGGCAACCAGGAAGCAGAGAGAGAGATGGAAACAGCCAGAAAAGAAGCTGCAAACAAAACACATGCCCAAAGTCCTGCCTCCAGTGATCTACTTCCTCTAACTAGACCCTATCTCATAACACCACATCAATCCATTGATGAGGTTAGTGTCCGCATGATATAATCAACTTCCAAAAGCCCACCTCTGAACATATGATCTTTTGGATGGATATTTTTTATCCAAACCATAGTGCTTCCTTTGATATATTTTACTAGAACAGTATAATTCATATACGTATAGAAAAATGTATCTGTTTTGTAGGTACCTAAGTTTTGTTTCTTAGATATATATTGCTGCCTTTGTACATGTGTGAATCAAATGCTGCAAATAAATAAATCTTAAAACTACAGCTATGGTAAATTATAAAATACAATTTTTATTCATCTTGAAGTCTGCTTCTGTTTGTTTTTTATTTTGTTTTTGCTTCTGCTTTTAGTTTTTGAGACAAGATCTCACTATGTAACACAGGCTGCCTTTGAACCTGCTATTTAGCCCAAATTGGCCTTGAGCTAGCAATCCTCCTGGCTCAGCTTCCTGAGTACTGAGATTATAGATGTGTGCCACCATGCCCAGTGAAGTCTGTTTCTATTTAAGTTTTTTATATCATACTTTGAAATGTTACTAATATACTCTTTAATGATTCCACTTTTTCTGAAGTTTTTCCCATTTTTTGTTACATTTTATTTTTGATTAACATATATTAACTTGATTAACATATATTAACACATATTAATGGGTTTGGAATGATATTTCAACCCATGGATTCAGAGTGCACTGATCAAATCCAGCCTCTCTTTATTCCCCCTTTCCACCACCACCCTTCCGAACCTCTTGTAATTACTCTTCTACATTCAGGTTGACTTTTTTAATTTCCACATATGAGAGTGAACATGTAGTATTTGTCTGTGTCTGGCTTATTTCACTTAGCATAATGTCCCCAAGTCCCATCCATTTTGCTGGAAATGACAGGATTCCATTCTTCTTTATGGCTCAATAATGGAAGTAAGACCCATCATTAAGTAGGGGGATAGTAGTATACAGGCACCAGACCTGAGTTCAAATGTCAGCTTCACTATTTATTGGTGGATGAATGTGGTCAGATTACTAGCCTCATTGCACTTTAGTTATCACTTCCATTACAAAAGGAAAATAATCAGAGCTCTTGTGAGACTTCTGTGATCCCATACATTTTGTAAATGTTAGTGCTTTTCTTCTCCTATTCTCTAATAAGAGTTTCTTGCCTTCTATCCATTTCCACCTCTGCCCCCCATAGAAAAAAATATTTCCTCCATTCTACTCCATTCTACCTTAAGCATCCTTCTAACATATTCTTCTAAGCTTGATTTTACCTAAAGTCTGAATTTGTTTCTACTGTCACAGGCCATCTCATTCTCCTGTAGACAATCTCCTACGGGCATTTCTCAAAACAGTTTTACTTCAAGTGGAGCTTAGCATCAAATGGTCTGACACTGATCTAAGTACCTAATTCTAGAGAACTACCTTTAACTGAACAAATGTGTGTGCATCTATGCAGCTGTGTGTGGTGTGTGTATATGTATAATACGAGAGATAGTCTATCATAGTGGTGTGGTATCAAACTATCTGATGTGGATTCTAACTCTATCAACTTATATTTTTGGTTAATAGCTTACTACTTGATTTTTAGCCAAGTTACTACCCTATGACTCACCTGTCTCATCTCTAAAGTGGGATCTTGAGAGTGCCTTCCTGCAGAAATATAAAAAGTTTAACTGGAACATCCATTTACTTAGATCATAGCTTGGTGTGTAGGAAGCACTTAATCAATATTACCCATCATTATATTCAAATAATAAGAATATATATAACCATCAGAAGTTCTAACAGTCCATAGATCTGATGTCTCAATTTAAAGGATTCTAAGGAAGGTTGACCTATGTGAATGATTTTCATCCATTTGTAGACAAATTAATGTGGTGGTTTGTAGTGGTTGCATTTGCTTTGAGGACAGGCTCTAAAATGTTTTTTTCCTACTACCTAAGACAGATTATTTATCTTCTGAGATGAAAACCTCCACATGATATAAATTTTCTACTTACCTTTTAAATGGTGCTTGACTGTTTTCAGGACATAGCTCTGTAGGACAGTACTAATTTGCATGGTTGCATTGGACTAATTTCCATGATTCTTTGAATTGGAATCAGCTCTTTAGAACTCTGGTCGCAGTGTTTTAACCAAGCTTCCACACTAAACACTAAATCACATTCAATACTATTAGACCACAGGCAAAGAAAAAAAGCACTTTTGAATTCACAGGATATTTCTGAAAGAGTTAAAGCTTTGACTATTTTACTGATTGACCAATTCACTTATTATTCTTTGACATCACACATCTATGATCCAGTTCACTAGAAGTATTATATTAGATCAACTCATCTATGAATATGAATTTTTTGCTCCTGTATCTGTTTCAAGTAAATTAATAATGAATGTCCAGCCACCCAAATTACACCTCACTGAAGGTTATTTTTACCATGCTGAACTATTCTAGTAGTACATCTAGTCAAACTGAAAATTGGAAAGTTTTGCAGTTGAAGATATTTCCATGCACAGTTTAATAATTCAACCACTTGTACCCCTAGGCAAAGTATATAACTAGAAGTCTACTTGTTGGCAAAGTAACATCCAATTATATTAATTTAAAATTAAAATCCTCTAGCTAAAATAATTATTGGAATTATCTGTGGGAAAGCAAGGGACTCAGGGGCATTGCTACAATATTGTTTTATTAACCATAGCTGCATTTTCTTCTTATAGACTTATGTAAATTTGGCAATTAATTACTTTAAGAAGGGAGAAAATAAGATAAACATATTATTTATAAATGGGCTGCAGTCATTTCCTCCCAACTCCCAGCTTCGGTGCTGATGTTAGATGAGAAGGGGGTTATTCCTCTAAACTCTAAACACAGTTAAATACATTATTCCACAGGTCTATTTAATTAGAATTTTGAATAGTCAGGTTAATTATCAGTTTTATCAGTTGCTTTTCATTTATTCATTGTCAAGAATGCATATTGTGTTCAGCATTGCTCTAAGCCAGTGATGGTGAGCTTTTAGACTAGGTGCCCAAACTGCAACCCAAAACCCATTTATTTATGGCAAAGTGCCAACACTGTGATTAAAACTAAATATCCAGTGCTAGGCTACTGGGGAGATGCTGGGGCAACTTGGCTTGCATGCCCACAGAGAGGGCTCTGCATGCCCACTGTGGCACATGTGCCGTGGGTTTGCCACCACTGTTCTAGGTAGTTGATAATCAGTGAATAAAGTTCTCTAGCCTCTTGTGATAGTGGAGGTCAAATTGCACTGCTGCAGGAGAGGTTAGGATACACAACAAACAATTGATTTGTATTAATTCTTTTGATGTATCTGAAAATGATAGAGGAAAAAGGAAACTGAGAAAAGACAAATGTGGATTAAGGGAAGAGATTGCAGTTCAGGGTTCTTTGAAATGAAAAGGTAGTACCAAAGAAATGGAGCCTGCCACGCCCATGAGGGAAAGTGGAGAAGTTATTGAATGTGAAGATACATATATTCCCTTTTTTTTTTTTTTAGGAGAGAAGACCTGTCAAGTACTAAAAAAAAATTATCTCATTCTTCTCTTCCTCCACTTGGTAGAGTATAATCCCTTGTCTCTCAGAGGTGGAGATGAAATAAATTATAGAAGAAATAAGTGCTACTGCCTGGGCTCTCAGATCCTATGAAATTCTGCCTAATTTAAGCTCTGATGGGGAGTCTATTTCCCATTAGCTGTCCCAGAAGATGGAAGAAGAAAGCACTGAATGAGATATGCAGCTCAATTCAATGAGTTCTTATTAGTGCCTCTTATTTGGCTAGAACAATTTTATTCAATTTGAGTTAATGCACAAAGCAGATGTTCTCAAGGAGCCTTCAGGAGTAAGATATATTACAGATACATGAACTATCTGCTACATGACAATGCTATGAAAATGTAGAAGAGAAAGATCACTATAATCTACAGCAAGTAACTCAGAGGTTTCTGGAAAAATGAGACCAAGGTTAGATCTTTGTACATCCTAGTGTGGTACTGTTGCAAGTGGGGGCAATTAGGTAAAAGCAGCATCCATGGTCCTAACAGAGTTCCAGGAGAGAGTCTGCTTGAGGGACTTCTTGGCTGTGAGTAATTAGTGACTAGATCAATAAGGATCGCCACACCTCAAAGACAGATGGAGGAATAAAAACCATGCATGTTACACAGACTATGATGTCTTCCCTAAAAACACAGACCCGGACCAGAGGAGCCAAGGTACAGGAAGCAGGGAAAATGGAGACTAAATGTAATTATTTCCATGAAACAAACAGATACCTTTGTTTGCTTCAATTACATGGACATATTCCACCAGCCTAAATGCATTTGCCTCACTTCTGTCAGTGCGATTACAAACTTTGGACTTCACTTTAGAGGAAGTTTAAATATACAAGTACTGAGGTAGACAGAATAGAAATAGAAACAAAGAAGGGGCGCTACTGGGAATGAAAAAGACACCCACAGACTGTACCAAACAGGCTGCCCGGGGAACATTTCCCTAATCATCCCAGAGTGCTCGGCTCACCTACATTCCCGTAGTCTAGTCCTGGGAAGCTGGTCAATGTGCCCACATCTACTTCCAGGGGTGAATTCAGTCCACTTGTAAATAAGCATTTGGAGAAGGACGAAGGTGGGTCGCTCACTTGCCACTTCTTTTTTTTAGCTCCGTCCTCTGGTTTGTCTGTTCATACCCCTATCTATTCCCACCGCAGTCCACACCACCCCTGGAGCGAGGAACTCTTCGTCCCAAACAACCTCCCCAAGCGGTCCTCTGCGGTGGAGATTGCACCCCCTCAGCCACCGCTAAGACCCGGAGAGGTGGAATTTCGTTTTGAAACTCCGTGCCGCGGAGGGCCGGCGCTGGGCATGCTCAGTAGCAGCGGCGCGTCGGGCTGCTGCTGGAGCGACACTGCCGGGCTCCGGGGTGGCGCGGGTCCCCGCGCTGTCACCTCCGCGGCTGCGGGGCTTCCCAAAGGCCGAGCATTCGCTGCCACTGAGCACCTCGCCCCCGCCCGCTCCCGTGCCCCTCACCCACCTCCTCCTACTCTTCCTCCTCTCCCCCTCTCTCAGGGAGAGGAAGCTGGTGGTGCTTTCTGTCGGCGCCACGGACTGGCCGCCCTGCAAACCCCCTCGGAGGACCCTGCCAACGAATTCCGGAGACCAGAGGACCCTTGGCAGTGGCTGGTTCACTCAGCACTTTGCCTGAAGTGGGGTCGTGGCGGAGTTTCTCCTCCACCTCTCAATGCAAACACCATGCGGAGAGCAGCCGGCTTCCCTGCGCTGTGCCTGCTCCTTAATCTTCTCGCTGCAGGTAAGAGGTTGCCGGGAGCAGAGCTGGAGCTGTGGATGAGATGGGAAACTGCACATGTTTAAGGACTCTAGAACAGCTTCCCTGAAAAGAAAAAAATAAAGCCTTACAAAGGCAAAGCATGTGAGGGAAGGGGTGAGAAAATACACCTGTTGGAAGATGGAAGCTGAAAACTTGAGCTAAATTCAGCTCTTAATTTTCTTTACCTTGTTTAAATAGTAAATATTTTCAGTATGAATATAGATTTGCTTCCCTTTCCCCTCCCCTGCATCTAGACTCTGTTTCGGTTTCTAGGCTATGCACTTGACTGCCAATTTTTCAGGACAGAGACAAGACATCCTGCTAGATGTAATCTTTTCTACTGCAGCGTTTACATTCCTAAGGTCTCTTGCTTCCGCCAACGCTCACAGGGATGCGCAAGCTGTAACCTGAAGGACCACGTACAGCTCCACCCGAGGGGTCAAAATGCATGGTTCAGATTAATGATGCTGCTCCAGGCTCCTTTGGTCCCTGTCCTCCTCACTCGAATTTTCTAAACCCATAAGCTGAGGGAAAGATTTCAAAGCTGAGCTTTTCGCTTTCAGTACCATGGTCAGTGCCCGCCAGCACAAGGCTGAGCCTAAGGAGTTTCAAAGCTGACAACCCTGGGACTGACATTGTCTCCTGGACAAATTTTATGAGGTCTGACCAATAGTGAGGAGTAAGACTGCTTCAAGTATGCATAGATTTAATTCCAAAGCCTATATCAAGTCTCATGAGGAAGCAAACCGTAGGAAGAGCCTGGGCTTTTATGTTCGATGTCACTACAGACGTTGATTTTTTAATACATAGGACCTCTGTGTAGTGCATAGACTCACTGGACTGCATCGTTTATGGTTTTTACCCACACATGAACCAAAACAAAACATGGCAGAGATTTTAGGAGCCCTACTGCGACAGCAGTTGTCCATGCAGTAGTCTTGTCACAACCAGAGACTAGGCATTTTCTCTGAGTTTGTTTCTCATCCAATCACACATAGTCGTCCATTTCTCCAGCTAACATCAACTGAGTGTATACTATTTTCCAGGGGTTGAAAATAGTGGTTAATAAATATTGAAAATAATGATTATGAAATGAGAATCCTTGCAATATCTCTTAAAAATAATGTGTGATTTTTTTCTATGTGTGTAATAATGGGGGTGAAACGTAGTACTTTCTTATTCTAGCTAATACTGTTTTAAAGTATTGTGAGGCTTTTGAGCAAGTAGTGTACAGGAGGAGCATTAAATCTACAATTAAGTAAAAATGTTTATTATAATTATGATGTGGGGTTTTTGATGCTGAAGTTCTTTGTTACCTTCTGAAAACTAGGAATAAGAAGCTGTGACTTGGTTATTAAATTACTTGCAAACAGGTGTATGAGTCCTTCCATTACCGCATAATGTTCTTTAATATTAAAATATGAGATGAATATATACATAGTGAGATAGTTTTATTTACATTATTGTTTAATGATAGCACTAGACATTCATTACCAAAAAAGTCTCAATTCTTATCAAGTTATTAATGAAATAGTTAGCCAAAATTATCAGTCAGTTATTTTGAAACTAATATGTAAATGTTTTTAAAATATTATATTGGATATATCTTGAGTAATTATAGCTCAAAAGTATAAATAATCTTAAAATTAAATATATTGGAAACATTCTAATTTATTGAAATGAACATTTGGGATAAAGAAAACAGAAGACTTTGTTTGATCAAAGGAGAAACCTAGACTATACCTGGAGTTCTGCCAAAGCCAAACCAATCTATTTCTATTTTGACTACTTAATCTGCAAAATAAAGATAAAAGATAAGATTATTCAATCAATTTGAATTTAATAAGGTAATGCAATAAAGGACTATTTTTTTGGATTTCAATTGCAATATGCTACATAGAAATTAATTGTATTTGGATTTAAAACAGTACTTTAGATAGATATTTTTATCACAGCAAATGACAAGTTTAATATTATGGTTGTCTTACCAGTTTCATTTTGGATGCATTTTAATTTTAAACAGTAATTTGTGGGTCACAAGCTGTCATCAGATTAAAATTCATCACAGTTATTTAATTATATTGTTATGGCTTTTCATCATAACTCACACACAGATTTCTTGATCTAAGCTCCTGTAGATTTAGGTAATAAGAATATGAGTGGGCACGAGGACCAAGATCAAGGAGTCACTGATTTCTGTACTTGCTGAATGTCTGCATTTATTTCTTTTATAGAGGTTCTCCTCTCAGGACAGAGTCAGGCTTTGTAAAGAATGGAAATGAATTCTATATATTTGGGCCTCTTGACTAAAAAGCAAGTTGATCTGTTTGGTTAGGTCCAGGTTATCAGCAACTATTTTATACTAGCAGAACTGGTGATATCTTGGAATGCTGTAAGAATGGGATAAATTGGCTAATAGTATGTAAGTGTTGCTAGCTATGTTAGGAACTGTTCCCCATGACATAGCCAAGCCCCTAGTAATAAGGAAAAAGATTGTTTCAACTTCAGCCCATCTCCAATTATTTGGTTATGGTTGCTTCTGACAGAGTGAAGGGGAAAAAGTAATAATAATTCTGATCCATTCCTGATTGGTAACTGACAGCAGAGAAAATCACTGTGATATGCTTGTAATGTTTTTCAGAACAAAAATGCTCTGTAATTGACATTACTAAGTAAGATAACCCTAAGGAATTGGTGACCATGGAGCTTATTAACTTAACATGACAGTGATTTTCATAGGTCTTTCTAACAAGAAACTTACAGGGCTGAGGATTTAGCTCTGGTTCTACCACCTGCCTTGCAAGCACAAGGTCCTGAGTTCAATCCCCAGTACCAAAAAAACAAAAAAGAAATTAAGAAACTTATACTTACTGTCCATCCAACTGCTTATTTTACAAGTAAGGAAGCTAAGATCCAGAACAGTCAAGTGTCAGTTGAAAGCTTTGTCAGGAGGCAAAGCCAGGCTTCCAGAGCTTTGGCTTTATCCTATGTAAAATTATATACCACTGCCACTGTTCAGTTAGATATGAAATCCTATTTCCCTGACTGTTTTATTCTCTGTCTTTGAACCAACACAATTCCAGTGAAAATAGCACATCAGGAATAGCCAAGAAGGCAAGTAAATTACTTTAATAATAGAGATGGTAAAAACAATAATAACTATGTAGAAGATCCACAGATAGCTTATTTTCTTGAATGTTCCTTCTCTTTCTGTGCCCCATGAATCACACTCCATTTGAGAAGAAGGGATTATTGATAGGGTGATATTTTTAGTTGCAAAGAAATGACTCTCTAGATATCTTAAAAATTCTCATGTGGGGGGCCAAGGATTTAGCTCAGTGGTGTCATTGCTTGCCTCACAAGTGCAAGGTCCTGAGTTCGATCCCTGGTACCCACCCCCACCCAAAAATTCTCATGTGAAAGTTTTCTTTTTCCTGGTAATAGTTTTGGTAAGAGAAGAAAGAGGTCAATTTTAACCCATTACTGTCCTCAAGTGCTGGAAAAGGTTATTTTGGATTTCCACACTGTCCTTACCGGCATCCTTTCTGAATGGCACAAAGGCTGTATCTCTTGAAACTGTCAATTCATTCTCAGAAAAGTACTTAGTGAATTTCTCTAGCCTTTGAGAAGATGGAACAAAGAGGATCTAATAGATCATTTGCAGAAGCACCATGCTCAAAAGGAAGGACTGTAGGATAGGAAAATGAAATGTTCTACTTTGAGATTTTAAGATGTTACTTAGAATACCAGAATATATTTTTTCTGCTCAAAACTCACTCGATGAAGTCTTTATATTGGCCCAAGATTTTCTAAGTTCTCTCCTCATCCTCCCATTGCTACTGTGATATTAATGTCAGTGCTTGCCCCATTTTTATTTCTCTCCAATTATATTGATCTTTTTTCTGTGCCTAGAAGATACACAGGCATTCATCTATCTCATATCAGATGTTTTGTTTTTTTATTTCCTCAAAACATGCTCCAGTTATCTTCGTGGCTTGATTTATCAATGATTTTAGGTCTTTATTCAAAGGTTACTTTCTTAACGGAGCTTTCATTTAGTATCCTATTTTGTATTCTACCTCCCCCAACACATGCACACTAAAACCTCTGGTACATAAGAGGTTTTCCACCACCTAGCACACATATTTTACTTGTTTTGTTTATTGTGCTTTACCCTCTCTATTAAAAGGTAAGCTCCTTGAGGGCAAAGATTTTGGTGTGCTTCATTTTTTTGCCATATCAATTGGAGATGATGCTCCACCTAGTACCTGGGAACAGTGATTAGCATAAAAGTTTCTAAAGAGCAAATAAATATCTTGACAAATAAACACAACACAGTGGTATTTCTGATATTTCTGTTTTGCATTCAATTTCTTGTTGGCACTTGTGAAAAATGCACCTAGTCAGCTTAATCATTTGCAGAATAGACTTAAACACAATACATTTGTTCATAATTTATGTTACTCCCTAGGAGCCTCACATCTCTGATAGACTTTGCTATCACTATAAACTGAAAGGCAACAAGGATATATTTGCATGAGACCAGAGCTACTGTTCAACTCAGTGAAAAGCCCTTCAAACTGATCATCAGATAGAGAACAACCAAAGTGCCTTACTGGTTGGCTACATTTTTACTTGTTAGTTAAATACTGTGTACATATAGCAATGGCTGTGGTGATATAAAAGTATTCAGAAAGCTTATTTATAAACATGGAGTTTAAGTCACTAGACAAACCTGTCTGCTTCTCTGGCATGTAGACACAGGAATAAGTGTACTGGAAATCACATATTTCTAGCATCTGGAGACTGAATATTCTGTTGGAGATCATATCCTGCCTAAAACCTTGTAAAAATTCTGGGATGCATTATCCACATTTCTACTTCTGTTCATTCTCTTACATTTCTCTACCAACTGCAATCCTCATCATATCCTCCTGTTATTGGACATCATTAAGGAGCTTATCATATGTCCTTCCCAAAGA